TTAGATAAGACAATTATCCGAGCATGAGAGGATTTCCTGTTTATATATTGGCTTAGATTTATTTACTTTGCTTTATATTATCCATTTTCTAATTCATCATGTAATAAATTGATCTGTAATATTAATCTGTTTTTTTTAATATTACAGATCATGTTATTGCATTGAGAAATGATTTAGAACAATTTAAGAAATTGATTGTATTGGCTGCTAGCAAATTCCCGCATATGGGTTATCCTCGGCCAAGCTTCGCTTTTTTATTTAATGAATTGGTATCTCGCTATATCCACAATGCGACACGGTAGAAGAATTGAGGTAAAATCATTCTCTCATTTCTTGTTCAGTTCATTTTTTTCAATAATATTTATAATATTATATTTTCCTAACATCCGTTGAAGCGATACAATTTTGTGAGAAAAACATACATGCTACGAAGGATGAAGTATTATTTCATTAGCCCTACAATAAGATTAACATCGCCATATTCTTATTTTTTATTTATTTAATTTTTTTTTTTGGGCAGCTTCGGGGTATTGAAGAGTTGCTTTTTCAGTATTTGTCAGAGTTTGTTTTGAAGTTTTTCTTTGAAATGGCAGAGAACTATTATCTAGTACGAAAATGTAAGGTAATGTTCACTTTTCTTCCTTTTTGCTATTTTTGTTATGTTTTGTTTTGTTTTTGTTTTTTTTTTTTTTTAGTTGGGACTCACATACACTACTTCCACTGAGATTTGAATCCCTGACCTCCCTTTGAGAAGTAGAAGTCTTGTACCGTTAGGCCACACGCCTGGTGATATTTTTTTGTTTTGTTTTGGTTTATGATATATCTTAAATCTTATTGTAGGATTGAAAAATCCTCCTTATCCACTGGGTCGCTAGTATCTTAGAGGTAGTATATTTAGCCTTTGTAAATTATTTTAAAACAATATTCATATATGTATATATATAATTATATATCTACTTTTCTTTCCTTCCTGTGTGTAGTTGGAAGGTATCCTTGTCATAGAAGAGCTGCTCTTTATTTGTGTACCTAAGGCAATTGGTCTGATTTACTTTGAGTTGGGGCTGATTTATTTTAAACCTAGTACTACTGATGTTCGAAAGATGCATTTTATGGAAGAGCTGCAAAAGGAAGCACATGACGTAGAGGTATTTTGAGGTAGAATTGCAAAGGAAATGGAGCATTGATGGTTAGTTTTAGCAAATAGTAACTCAAAATTTTCTATGATGACGGATGCCAACATTAGTTTGGTTTTCAACCAAACCAGGTATTCTAAGATAGAATTGCAAAGAAAATGGGTCATTGATCGTTAGTTTTGTGAATTGGAAAATATATTTTATTTGTAAGATGACTATGGTATAAGTCAAACATTTCTATATAATTTAGATTATGTATGCGAACATTAGTTTGGTTTTCAACCAAATGAATGAATTTACTTATTTGCATGTATATGTTTTAATTTTCTTAATATAATCTGCTTTTAGTTTTTTTTATTCTGGAATGCCCTATTAATGGTATAGATTTGTAATTTTCTTAAACCTATTAAAGTGCTTCGTGGGTTGACACTGTAGGTATGATTATATATATATATATATATATGAATGTATGAAGAGTAATAACCTAAATGCCACTTGTGGGGGCATTGTGAGGTGGGCCTCAATATTTTTTTGTTTGTATTTTTGGGTGGATGTGGTCTCATCAGTGTTTATATGACGTGTTAACTTATGGGTGGATGCTGGTTAGAGACTACTAATAATGGATCTAATTTTTAGTAGTCTTGTCCATCTACTTCCAGAACTTCAAATTTCCCTACTTATTGACAATTTGAATACAAGTTCTACTTCCTCTGCTAAAAAGAGATTGAGGCTGGCAGTTGAATACCTAAAAGAATTGGCAAGGGATAGAGATGCCATTATTCAAATATGAGTGCCTATAATGAGAGGAGGTAGACATGTCCTTCTCACCTACAATCAGCCATTCTCCCTCAATCCCAACTGCAAAAACCTTGCAGTTTACAGAGATGTTTCCACAAGTTATAGCTTCTACTGATGATATTTTCGGCTTAACTTCTTGTCCTCTTTTTCCATTTCAATTTTTTTTTTTCTTTTTATGGTAATCAAAGTCCTCTTTTCCCATTTAAGTACACTTGTAATGGCAGGAAACAATGGAGTTTAGGAACTTGGAGGGGAGTTGGAATTTTTTGAAAGAGAAGGGCATTTTGGACTATTAAAGAATCTAAATAGCGTGTTTTTTACACTTTACTAATTAGTTTGATAAAATTAGCAGTCAAACTAGTTTTAAAAAGTTGGCATATATTAAAAAATATATAATTAAGTAGGGGTTTTTTTTAAAATTTCCCAATATTAAAAAAACATAAGACATGGATCAAACTCATTTCTAAAGCTTGTCCAAGTTAGAACCCATCACAATAAATCTCCATTTTCAGCAACTAGCTTCTCTGGCTCCCCTCTTTCTAAAATCTCCACCAAAACCTCCGGCCTCATAAACATTATCATATTAAAGTAGGAATAAGTATAAAATGTCAAATTAGGCTGTAAAGGGAAATTATGAAACTATAGCCCAAAGGCTTATCATTGTGCCCGTGTTTGAACTGGATGAGCTAACTATTTTTAACGAGACCAAAGTAAATCACAACAAATATTAATAAATACGCTTCTGTGCTTTGCATCTTATAATACACACAATTAAAAAAAAAAAAAAAAAAGAAGGGTAAATTGTATTGACATCTCCTAAGATTTGGTCATTGTCACTCAGATGCGGGTCAAAGTCTTTTTTTAAACAGTGACACCCCTTATGATTTCAAATATTATATTTACCCCTAATTATTTAATTCAATTAATTTAAAAAATATTAACTTTATTAATTGACAAAATTATGATCATTATTAAGCCTCTTTCTCTACCCTAATCTTTAAATCTCTTTTTTTTGAGTTCATTTTAGTACCTAGCCACTGACACTTCCTCCCTCTCTTACCAATCTCGAACACTTTTTTGTTTTTTTTTTTGTTTTTTTTTTTTTTTTTTTTTTTGGGTGGGTCTGGGCTGGCCACGACTATTTTTAAATTTATTTATTTATTTTTTAATTTTTTTTTTTCCTACTCTGGTGGTGATTGTTGAGGTGTGATTTGGGTGTGGTTATGGTAGTGTTTATATTATCAAGGTGTTTCAAAATTTTTATTTTTATTTAATCTATTGCGGTGGTGGTGGTGGCGGCGGCGGCGTCTTAGTGTGTTGGTGGTAGTGTCTGTGTATGTTGGTGGTATCGTCTTGATGTGGTGGTGGTTCTGATGGCGTTTGGGACATATAAGTATGGGTTAGCCATGACTGTTTAAAATTTTTTTTTTCTACTATGGTGTTCGGGTGTAGCGGTGGTGGTTCTAATGGTGTACAATAATATAACTGCTATTTAAAAAAAAAAAAATTTATTTTTACATTGTGGCAGTGGTAATGGTGATATAAGTATTATTATATACATAGTATAAATTATATATATATATGTATAGAAGAGATGAAAAAGTTATTGGTTTATTACATTTAGTTAGGAAGTTAAATTTGTAATTTTATAATTTAAAGAAAGTTGTTGACAAGTCAAATGATTAAAATGTAATTTCATATGATTTTAGAGATAATACATTAAAATCTCATGTGGTGTTTATATAAAAAAGCAATTTAAAATAAACAATTGCAAAATATTTTGTTACACTTCAAAATTTTATTTAGGGTAAAGTACAGTCACACCCCCTGAGGTTTGGTAAAAGGACACCCAGAGAAAACTTAGCTATTTTTTGGACAAAGACACCCCTTGGAGGTTCAAAAATGGACAAAGACACTCCTTTACATGAAAAATTGACCAAATTACTCTTTGACCTTTTAAGAGACTTTTTTAACTTTACAATTTAATAAATTGGACCAATCTACCCTCATGAACAATTTATGTATAAAAAAAAAAAAAAAAACAATTTATATTGTTCACTTTTTTTTTTTTGGTTATTTATTTTATAAATATCCCAACTTCTTAAAAATGTAAACTTCTAAATTGATTTTTTGATACAATATATATATTTCAAATAAATTATATTTTGTTATTACTTCTTTTCTTTTTCTTTTTTATTTTAAAATTAAGATGCTTAATTCTTTCATCTAAAAAAATTAAACCAATCTCTTTTCCTTAAAAATAAAAAATATGGTACCAGTATAACTTTATGCATTTTAAATTATATATAAAATATTATGCATTTCCCAACATAAAAGGAAAAAATAATAATAATAAAACAAAGGGAAAATAATAATAATAATAAAACAAAGAGAGAAAAAAAAAAAAAAAAAAACAAAGGCAAGCATAACATTAAGATGCATAAAGTTATACCGGTACTTATTTTCTTTTATGTTAGGAAATGTATAATATTTGATATGTAATTTAAGATGCATAAAGTTATACTGGTACCATATTTTTTATTTTTAAGGAAAAGAGATTGGTTTAATTATTTTAGATGAAAGAATTAAGTATCTTAATTTAAAAATAAAAAAGAAAAAGAAAAGAAGTAATAACAAAATATAATTTATTTGAAATATATATATTGAATCAAAAAATTATTTTAAACATCTACATTTTTAAGAAGTTAGGACATTTATAAAGTAAATAACAAAATTAAAAAAAAAAAAAAAAAGTGAACAATATAAAGTTTTATTTTATTTTATTTATTTATTTATTTATGCATAAATTGTTCATGAAGGTAAATTGGTCTAATTTATTAAATTGTAAAGTTAAAAAGTATTATAAACGGTTAAAGGGTAATTTGGTTAAAATTTTCATGTAAAAGGGTATCTTTGTCTATTTTTAAAATTTTAGAGGGTGTCTTTGTTCAAAAAATAGCTAAGTTTTCTTTAAATATTCTTTTGTCAAATTTCTAAGGGTGTAATTGTACTTTACCTTTAAATATCAACCTCGAAATTAAAATAATGATTTCAATTTGTATACACGTACCCACTTCAAAATTTCGGTGAGTTGTGTGACGCCTATATTTAATTTTTTCCACCCAATCTCAAAAGCCTCTTTATTGGCACTATACCAATTCAAAGTCACGGTCAGGGATCCAGATCTCACAAATATCTCTCTCCATCTCTGTATATCTGTATCTCTCTCATTCCTCCTCGCTGTCGGCGGCCGATCATGTCACTCATCTCACTACTACAGACACCGCCGAGACCACCGGACCTGACGTTCAAGGTGATCTTCTCTTTCTTTCGGGTATTTTTTTTTTTTTTTTCTTCTCTGAATGGAGTTGTAGATCTGAAGCATCAGTTGTCGTTTCTTCAATTTCTCTTTGTTTTGGAGTCGATTTTGTAGCTCACTCTTGTCTCTATGAGGATCGGTAAAGTAGTTTCTCTTGGTTGTGGGTTTTTTTTTTCCCTTCTACATGGTGTTGTAGATCTGGATTTTAAGTTTTCATATCTAAAATTTCTTGTTGTTTTGGATTCGATTTTGATGACTACTTTGGGAAAGACTATACATATAATTATATAGAGGGACCTTGAATGATTTGGTATAAAGGTGTTTCGTATTTGAAGCTTCTCTCATGCTATTTATGATTATTTGCTTGTGAACTCTGGAATTTTTATGTGACAAAGTCTCTTTAATGCAGATTGGGTTTATTTCTCGTTCGGCATGGGTGGTGTAGGAAAAGTTATATAATAATGTATTTGTTTAATTTTTAATTACAATTTATTGCTCATATAATGTTTCTTGAATTTATATGAGTAGAATTCTTAGTGTGTTGATCTTGTGTCCCAAAATTTTATAATCAAAGATTTTAGTTAATTAAATTAGTTTGCACATATAATTTTAGTGCGATTTTAATACACTAATATTTAGATCCATCTTATCTCAGTTTTTCATTTGGCTTACAAAATAGTTTTTTTTTTTTTTTTTTCAAAATTAATTTATAATTTGCCAACTCCTTTCATATAAAGTTAATCATTTCTTTATAATATTTTAAAATAGTTTATTAGATGGGGGTTTTGTGAAGTTAATTCTTTCTTTTTGATATTTTATTCTATTATATTTTTGTTAAATTTTGTGTTTATTTAGTTGGACAAATGTCTCATGGCTAATATTACACTGGTAAAGTGTTCAATTAGCATTATCTAGTGTCACAGAAAAATACCAATTATCATTTAGATTACTTGAAAGACTATAAAATCAATCATACCTTGTTGTAGATGAAGATGACAAGAAGACATCTCTTCATGTAGCAGCGAGTTGAGGTAATGTAGATATCATGAAAGAAATATTATCAAGCTGTCCAGATTGTTAGGAAATGATCAACACTAGAGCCCAAAATATCCTTCACATAGCAGTACAGTATGATGAAGACGAAACAATCAAATTTATCTCAGAAAATCCCTTTGGCAAAAAGCTTATCAATGAGAAAGACGCCTATGTGAAGGATATTCTGGGCTCTAGTGTTTCCCAGCAATCTGGACAGCGTGATAATATTTCTTTCATGACATCTACATTACTTTACACATCTTCACATTGCTGCTAATCATTCCAACTACTGGAAGTATTGGGGACTTTTCAACCTTTGGAATGAAATGGCCTTCAATAAGAAAAACTGACTGTAGAAGAAAAAGAGGATCCAGATCTCACGGTAAGGATGCATACTTATCTACCTTGTCTATTGTGAAATTTTTTTCCTTACATATATTCCATATATACAATAAAAAAGAACTTTAGGAATTTTTGATCATGTTATTAAAAAAGATAATGTTCGTAATTTTGTGGGCACCCAGGCGTATTTATTAGGAGTGTTCAAATAATCCATCAATTTGCTAAACTGAACTGATCCGGTCTGATCCGATCTGTGCGGTTTGGTTTGGTTTTCTAGTGTTATGGTTTGGTGATGGATTGAAAATTTAGTAATCCGTAGTGATCGGATCGGTTAACGGATTAGGTGCTGAAAAAACCGATCCGTAAATTGATTTGTGGCCAATCCGTAGAACTAATATACATATATTATATAATATATATAGTATACAGTATATGCATAATACACTATTGATGTTTTTGTTTTCTTTAATCATTAAGTTTTCAAAAGTTTTATTGTTTTACGAATCCAAGATGCTTTATTACTTTGTGGCTTAGTGTTTTACACTTTTTAGTTTTTGTATTCCTTTCATTTGCATACGCCTCTGACGTCTCATCTGGTCTCACAAACTCACTGCTCTGCTCACAGTCTCTCATGGAAGGCCCAGGTTACCCGATACTCTCGGTCTCTTATGGAACCCAGACAAGTAAGCATATCCAAATTATATTGGCCGATCATTTCCTCTTCATCTACATCTAATTTCCAGTGAGTTCATAAGGCCCTGCTTGGAATGAAACTCCCAAAACAATTCTTCAATTTTTTAGTCTACTTGGCACCTGTTTTATGAAAACTGTTTTCATAAAATTGAGTTCAATGAGTATCAGTTTTATGAGAACAACAAAATGTTGTTTTGGGAGTTTCCAAAACAAAGTGAAAACACGGAGAAGCAATGTGGAGAACACTCTGCACTTTAAAAAAAAACGGAAGCGGCCTATCTCAGAGATAACACACCTTTTACGCCTCTTCCAAAACGGGCTTTGCAACATCTCTCTCCTCTCTACGGCTTCTCTCTCCCCTCTACGGCTTCTCTCTGCAAGATCGTTGCACTTCTCTCCTCTAGATCCAACTCTTGCTCAAATTTTATTGAGGTAAACACAAATCACTCTTTTTTCTGTAGCAAGTTTTTGTGTTTATGGATTTTGTTTTCTTTATGATTTTGGTTATAGATTTGGTTGGTTGGATGAGTTTGGTTGCAGATTTGATTATGTATTTTGTTGGTTGTGTGAGTTTTGTTGTAGATTTGATTTTCAGTTTAGGGATTTGGGGTTTTCAGTTTAGGGATTTGGTTTTTAGTTTAGTTTAGGGATTTGGGGTTTTCAGTTTAGGGATTTGGTTTTTAGTTTAGTTTAGGGATTTGGGGTTTTCAGTTTAGGGATTTGGTTTTCGATTTAGGGATTTCTAGTCATTGATTTCTTGGTAGGTACCCTACTGAATAGGGTTTTAGAATGCCTTATGATATGTTGGCTGATGAATGAATTCTTTATACTCTTTGTTATCCTGATATGTTTTTTTGCTGACTTTTTACTTTGCAATTACTATTTTCAGTTTGTTGCTTTGTTACTTTAGTTCGCTTATGTTTTATGTTTGTTTCTACTATTTCTCTTGTTAGCTTTTGTTTGGTTTGTTTTCTGTATGGCTAGCTCAGCCTTGTTCTTGTAATTTTCTCAATATAAATATTTCTAAATTTAATAATTACCTTGTGCATTCCTCTAACATCATTTGGTATAATTACCTTGTGCATTAACATATTTCTAAACTCATGTTTTGGACGAACCCATATATATATATTTAGTTCTCTTTATTTATTAATTTTCGACAAACTATTTTACACATCATAGATTCAACTTCAACATGTCAATCAACGAAAAATAAAAATAAAATAAAATATTTTACCTAAAAATATATATATTTTTCAAGAAAAATATTTTTGACAATAACATTTGGTTTCAAAATTATATTGTGAGTTGGAGCATAATGTAGAAAACAAGTTGCATATACCATTTTAAAGTAATTCGATACCCATATTATATTCTCTCTCCCTCTGAAACCCATCTCTATATCCTCGTGAGTCATGTTCTCAAATTAATTTTGTTTTATGAGTTTTATTAAAATGTGATCATCATTTCTAATTGCTTTCGATACTAATATCCCGTAACTCTAAAATTTACTTCACGTACGTCAGAGATATTGAGTGGATGATGCATACTATGTCATCAAATTAAGTTAAAAATTTTAAAAGTGACTTTAACTAAGAAGGATAAATATTTTTTTACGTGCTAACAAGTGGTAATGGGTTAATAGCAAATTCTTGAGTCTATTTGAAGTTACTGTTATAATGGGAAAAACGTTTTTATTAATAAAATTGTCATAAAAGTGGTGTTAGTAAAATGTATGTCAGATATTTGATGATGCACATTTAAAGCACTTTTATATTTATTTGATAATAATATTATTTAAATCGCTTTTATTAATAATTTTTATTATATTATCCCACAATAGTTGGGATGAATTGAAATTCCAACTTTTTATGGAAGTATTATTTATTAAACGAGTGAAGTTTCATTTTTATCCTTGTAAAAATGATATAACTCCTACTACTAACTATTGAAGTCTTCACTGTGCAGAGATTTAGTCAAATTTTAAAACATAATTCAATTGGTGGGAAATTACTCCGTATTTCATTCTGTGGGGGCATGACACCATTTACTTTGAAGTTCCAATTTTGAATGCTTATTTGTGTGACGACAGTGACGTGTATTTACTATATAGTGGACCATGACATTATTTACTGTTCTTTTGAAAATTTAATGTTTTTAATCAAGCAAATGAAAAAGGGACAGTTTGGAAATGTGATAAAAATAGTATATTTATTTTTGAAAAAGAACATGTATTTTGGAACATTCTAAAAAAGAAAGATAGACATGTATTTTGTTACGAATAGAGTAATAAATATGTGCCTTACTCAAATATAAATAATTAAAATATTTATTGATCAAGCTCACAAAATATTTAACACCATCAATTGTTCAGAGAGTAGCTAAACACATTGTTTAGTTAAACTTTTTTTTACCTAGAGTTAAAAAATTATAGAAATTATATTTACGCATAACAAAACCCAGTTATTTTAATCAAACCTCTACGCCCCTTTTTCCTTCACCATCGATAAGAGAAATAAAAATGAATGACAATAAACTTCTAACATATTTTTATCGATAAGAGTTACCGTTGGCACGTGTGACAAAAAAAAACTCTAAAATCTACCGCTCAAACAACCGAACAAGGTTACTCTAAACTTTGCATTCGTATTTCCAAACAACTGAACAAGTTACTCCAAACTCTGCATTCATATTGTAGAACTACCAAACTAAAGTTCTAAATTATATAGAAATGTTCGACTTACCATAGTCATTTTACAAATAAAATATATTTCCCAATTCCCAAAACTTACAATCAATGATCCATTTTCTTTGCAATTCTATCTTAGAATACCTGGTTTGGTTGGAAACCAAACTAATGTCATCCATTATCATAGATTTTTTTATTTTTATTTTTTATTTTTTTTCGTAATTGGCACTCACACGTACATGTCTCCACCGAGACTCGAACTCTTGACCATCCATGCTCCATTTCCCAGAAGACCTCTAAGTCATGTGCTTACTTTTGCAGCTCATCCATAAAATGCATCTTTCGAACATCACTAGTACTGGGTTTAAAATAGATCAGTCCCAATTCAAAGTAGATCAGACCAATTGCCTCAGGTACACAACGAAAGAGCAGCTCCTCTATGACAAGGATATCTTCCAACTGCACACAGGAAGGAAAGAAAAGTAGATATATAATTATCTATATATATATATATATATATATATATATATATGTGTGTGTGTGTGTGAATATTGTTTTAAAATAATTTACGAAGGCTAAATATACTAGCTTTATTAGCGGCATTCAGCCTCCCTCTGATTGAATATTGTTTTAAAACAATATTCATATATATAATTATATATATATATAGATAATTATATATATATATAAATCTCGAAGAGGTCGGCTAATGTTTACACGTGTTGAATGGCATTGAGGTGGGACTAACCAACGGATGAAACATTTCAGCTGACTTATTGGGGTGTTCCGTGTGTAGCATGGTTTTGATTTATTTTGGTCGGTTGATCTACCAACACATTAATGCACTTGCAACACATTACGTGCATGATAAAGAATACCCAGATAATTGATTATATAAACAAGTAAACAAAGCTGTGAAGATATTCGGGCTATGTAAATAAAAGAGTGTTTAAGAGGGTGGGTGAGAGAATCTGTACATAATACTACTCCAATTGTAGAATGTTGGTTCACATGTTTATAACATGAAGGTGTCGTATAAAAAAGACACATATTGAATTTAAACACCAATCATTTATATCATATTGTGAGATATTAATTATTTTTGACAATTATCGTAGACATAACAAGTCCAAGTTGAGTTGTAATTTGAAGTACTTGTTCGACAAGTCATCAAGTTGGACAAGGACTATTGAACTAGGAAGGAGTTCAAACTTACCATACTTGAAGAGTTTGTGAAGAAAAAGGTAAGGATGCCACTTTAGGAAGGAATATAAACAAGGTTGGACATTCTACACTTAACATGTTGATCTAAAATTTCTGTAGAATGCAACAAGACAGAGAGAATTCGAATAATCAGGTCTGCCAACCTTGAACTGGTTTAGCTTCCTTGAACCAGTTCAAGATACTCAAGTTTGAGTTACTGTCAAACTTGAACCGATTCAGCTTTCTTGAACCGGTTCAAGATGTCCTGTTTGCAATATAATTTCAATTTCCTTTTTCTAAGTTATTTCCCAGTTGGTCTCGAATTATACCAAATCCTATACACGAAATTTATCTTATTTTCAGAGGGATTAGGTCATTCTATATTTTATATAAACCATGTCATAGACATTGGTTTATTAACGACTTTTACCTAGTTAGGTTAGAATTGTGGAATTTGAATCCTGATCGTGATCGTACAGTTGCATTTATATCGATCAGACGAAGCAAATCTTCTTCTATATCATTCAGACGATTGAAGAACAGAAGTATACGCAGTCACACTTTGGAAGAGTTGGAGCATTCGTGGAATACTGTCTGATCTACCTGCTACTCTTCTACAAATATCAAGTGTAAGCCTGAGGTCAAGTTGATGTTGGACGGGGAGTCGCAAAGCTAGAGGATCGTCAGCGGTTGGTGTGATGTAAAACGATAGGGTGTGAGCCAGAGTCAAAGTTTGATATACTTTGTTCCAAGCATAATTGATTAATTTACTTTGGACTACACAAGTCTACGAGGTTTTTCCCATTACAGTTGACATATTTTATTAACTGGGGTTTCCTTACTAAAATCCTGGTGTCATCTCTAACTTTATATTTTACTTTATTTTATTTGCATTTGATTAACTGTTTAATTGCTAAAATAAGTAAAGTTGGTAATGACACAGATCTGTTGTACAAAACCTAAAACTTTCATAAATACATTTCGCTGCGTACGACTCACAATTTGGTATTAGAGCCAATCTCTATACATTGAGTTGATCCTTATTGGAAAGTTTAGTTTTATTTTCAAAAATTGTTTTAATCATGTCTTATGCGTTGAAAGAAGGCTGTTCTAATCAACGTGGTCCTTTATTTGAAGGAGATAATTATAATTTTTGGAAATCAAAGAAGAGAGCTTATTTGCAAAATTCTGGTGGTAAAACTTGGGCAATAGTCGAATCTGGCTATACACCTCCTATAGTAGATACAACTGTGGATGGTAAAATAGTCAAAGAGTTAAAAGATAGTTTTGCATTTACTGCTATTGAGATTGAGCGTAATGATGCTAATGGCAAAGTTTTATATTCAATTATTAATTCTGTTGTTCCATCTGAATATGCTAGAATTTTTTTATTGTAAAACTGCTAAAGAATCTTGGGATATTTTGCATGTTACTCATGAAGGAACTTCGAAAATGAAGTTGTCTAAAATTCAGTTGATTTCTCATAAATTTGGCAACATTGTGATGAAAGAAGATGAATCCTTTTTTGATTTTATTCTAGTCTTCTCGAAATAATTTCTGAATTGCGTCACTTAGGGAAAAAAGTTAGTGATAAAAAAATTTGTGAGAAAATTTTAAGGTATTTACCTAAAAGATTCCAGATTAGGGTTGAAACCATCTCTGAACATTAAGATTTGACTACCTGTCAAGTTGATGAGATGGTAGGTTCATTAAAAACTTTTGAGATGTAGAATTTTGATTTAAATCAGAAAGAAAAAAAATCTTGCTTTAAAATCTATACAGGTTGAGAATTCTGTGAATGATGACTCTAAAGATATTGCATTCTTGTCAAGGCAATTCAGTCAGATTTTGCAAAGGCAACAGAGGAGAAGGAATAGCAACATGGCTAATCCTCAAAATTTTGACAAGACGTTAAAATTTAGATTTAATAAAAAGAAAGTAGAAGAATCAAAAGAAATTGAATTTACTTGTTGGAATTGTGATGGCAAAGGTCACGCATTTAATGTTTATCCTAGTCCTAGGAAAAAACGAAATGATAGGAATAAATGAAAAGCAATGAAAGTTTCTATGATTGAAAATTCTACTTTAAGTGATAGTGATTTTCCTCATAATGATACTAATGATTTTTCTTATGTCGCTTTTCTTGATAGGGGTCCTCATGTCGTTCATTTATCTGACTCTGACAGTTCAGATAATGAAGACAATGAGTTTCATGATGAACAGGTTGAAGAGGCTGAAAAGGATAATGAAAGACTGAAGAAGATGGTCAAAGAAACCATGGAGACCAAACAGGCAATCAATAAGCTAGCAAAGGAGCTTATCCAAGCAAAAGGAAAGAATGAAGATCTAAAGAAATAGATTGATGAAAGCAAAAAGAAGGTTGTTGAAAGAGAGTCTGTCATCATTGAGCTTGAGAAACAGATCATCATTCTTGCGGATAAGGTAAGTGTTGCTAACTCATTAAAGGAATGTCTTGCTTTGAAAAATGATTATCTTGAAATTGAATTGAAATCTGAAAAAAATAAGCTGAAATGATTCAATATGAGTCAAAACAGTTTGAATAAGATAATCAACATGGGTAAGTATGTGAATGATAAAACAGGGTTAGGGTTTGTGAAAGGGTCTTCTAGTAATCAAGGTAAAATAATGTTTATTAAACCTGCTCTTATGTCTAAACCATGTTTGCCTGATGCATCACATTCTTTTATGTCTTATGTGTCTAAATTGTTGCATTGCACTTTCTGTAGAAAAAATGGACATAAGTATAACTCATGCCTTCACAAGAAAAAGAAAGATTTTTCTAAAATTGATTCTCAAAATTCTCATACTAAGAATAAGGTGCATTCTAAAGGGAAAAAGAAATTGACACCTAAGGTTCCTAGAACTGAAATTTTGCCTAAGAAAGAGGTAAAGAGAGAAAAAGAATTTCAGGAAGTACGAGTGAGAACTGTGTGGATCAAAAAGTCTGATTTGATCAATTATGTGCTTGTTGAGTCCATGGAACAAGTTTCTAAGAGGATTTCACTCTCAAACTGAGTTCTACAAAATTTAGTGATCATGGCTTTTTTTTTTAAAAAGGAAATTTTGGTGCCATTGGATCACTTGTTAGGGTTTGGTTAAGGTTTGAATTTCTGATCATA